GATTTCAGCCTTCTAGCTTCTCAGATCCTCGAGTTATGAACTGACTCCAAAAAAACTTTGGCAGGCTCGTACGCGAGTACCACGCAGGTTTTGGCGCCAATTTTGGGGATGGGGGCCCGCACGTGCATGTAGATTATGCCCTCAAAGTTTCAGCTCCGTAGTTTTTGCCAGTCTCGAGATGAAAAATCGGTACAGACGGACACACAGACAACCTCTCGTCAATATGCGTTTTCTGCATTGCATAGCTGCAAAAAACGCATAAAAAAAAGAACCCTGCGGTAAAAGGAAACTAAAATGTCGGAAAGAAATAAGAAAATAGTAAAAAATGATTTTTGCGTCATCGAAAAACACAGCCCCCAAACTGCTTGCAGCACAGACCTCACAAAAATGACGAAAAAGTGGTGAATGAAATTGATGGCGGTGAGAAGTACAGAAAAGTGGTAATCAGAAACACTGGAAAAATGAAGAAGTTACTTTGAAGAGATGGGAAGAAAACGTTACGAAACAACGAAAAGGAGGAGTTTTGAAATGAGACTGAAAAGAGGAATTCCAGGGATGATGAAAGCGGAAGTCTGAAATGATGCGTACATCGAGGCCTTCAGGTCGCATATGGCGAAACAGATGCTGCCATCGGCAAAATGCTTAGAAACAGGTGCAGGTGTGCTGACGCAGGGGATATTCGCAGATGCATATGCTGCTTGCGTTTATCAGTCAACTCAGACTGCCTTGCAATCGAGCAAATATTTATCCGGGGTCCGGGAGGACCAACAGATGCACATATCGAACTTTTGAGAGATGAGGCACAGCGTCACAACACGAAATCGAGGCACCGAAGAGCAACCAAGGTCCCAGAACGAAGCAGTATTCGAGGCAGGCAGCCCAAGTTCCGAGAACCAAGCATCATGTGGAGCGAGCAGCTCATTCACTGCCATTCAAGCATTTCTGAGCTGAATTTCTCCTTTCGGGCCCTATTTCACTTCAACTTTTTCGCGGATTACTGAAGACAGCATGAGTGAAGAGGTGCCACCCGAAACTGATCTTTGCCAACATCAACAGCCTCGAGGGCACTGACACGTTATGTAGATATGCTATGATTATTTCATGCCTCATTTCCTCATCGGATTTTCCATGCCGTGTTCTCTCAAAATTACCTTATTCAAGTCTAAAAAACCTCTTGATTAAAATTCCGAATTTCGACGAGCCTTCCATGACATTTTAAAGCGGCCTCCATCCAATGCCATTCGGAAACTCTTGCTTTTAAGAGATACATTCCTTCACTTCCGGGAGGTGGACTTCGTCTTCGTCTTCATTCTTCTGAGCGATTTTTTCGGGACTGGTTTCTCGGTTTCAATTCCAGTACATTTTTTGCATCTTGACAAAGCTAACATCTTGACGTGAATGATGATTTCAGTCATTCTTCAATATTCGGAAAGACTGATTCTCTTTTACAATTTTTCTTTGCCTTTTACAACTCGGCACCGCTTCTAGTAATACGACCCATCAGTCGCGTTTCCCTCATCTCCCGTGCTTGCTCGAAGGATACTCAATGCATCAAACATCGCCTTTGTGCTTAGGAAACAACTCGTCATTATTCGTTTTCCCGCAGCTAATTACCCTCGATAAAAACACATGCTTGTATGAATCATCGACCCCGAAATCATCAGTCCTGTACTACTACTCCATAAATGGAAAAGGCAGTGCGGCTTACCGTGCAGCTACCAACTCGATACAAACCACGCACAAGCAAACCGAAAAGTAAAGCCATGTACGTAATCAAAAACTTGTTTTTGTTATCCCTTACCAAGGACATGTCGACAAATGATGTGCGAACTGGATGTTAGTCACATCCCCAAAATATCGACGAATGAAAAAGTTGTTAGTTGCATCAACGGCAAGAAGAAACATGATGTTATTCGTGCTATTACTACGTGTACCCACTTGTCAGGCTTGGTTAAAGGCCAGACTCTTCGACCCAGGCACATGCTCGCATTTAATATGCAACAAATAAATATAAAATATTAAAAAATTAATCAACAGGACTGGAATGTTTTGGTCCATCAAATTGCATGCATTCCTATTTAGCACCACAACTAAACTTTGCAACAACTGTGGTTCGATTAAGTCAAACTATTTAAAATATAAATATGTATAAAGAGGAAATGTCCACTCTTCAAACGCCATCAGAATGACCGGTTATGTTCAGGGGCTCTCAACAAAGTGATAAAATGTTGCGCCCAATGGATTTTACTTTCTCACATGGTCGCAGTGTTGTTCGATACGTGTCACCATAATGTATGGCGCAGCAGAATGAGCGCATTTGAACAGTTCAGTGACAAAAGTTACATCTGCATATAACAACCGGGCTACGATTTTTGGGTTCAGGAGCTGCTTGAGGCTGTGGTTGGGGAGCTAGAGAGCTGAGTTTAAAACTATTATCTCGCACATGCACAGAGAATATTCCTGCAAAGTTTCAGCTTTCTACGTTGCCTGGTTCGCGAAATCGTTTCCCGCCAACAGATTTCTTTGGGGGTCCCGTACGCGGGGTTTAGGCGCATATGGGGGAAGATCTTAAAACGGGAGGATGACACACGGGGTAGGAACATATATCCGAAGTTTCAGGTTCGCGAAACGGTTTTTCGCCAACAAATTCCTTTGGGGGTCTCGTGCGCGGGGTTTAGGCACGTACGGGAAAGATCTTAAAACGGGAGGATGACACACGGGGTAGGAACATATATCCAAAGTTTCAGCCTCCTATCTTTCCTGGTTGCCGAGTTGGAAGTGGGTGACAAAATGCACTTGGTTTCGAACACACATACAGACAGCCTCTCGACAATATGCCTTTTTGCTGGCTGCAGCAGCGCTATGGCGTTGCACAGCAAAAACGCATAAAAATTGCGAGGACTGAGCAAAATCGGTCAGTGCAACTGCTATAAATAAGCGTATTTCGGGAATAAATCAAAAGTGCCGATGCCCGAGGGTCCTGAAAATGGACTTCCAAACGCAGTTAGGAAGCTGAAGAGAAAAAAGAGTGCGGAAAAGACTGCAACATAGTACTGCTGTTTTCCGGGAAAAACCACATAAATACGGTAGCCTCGGCCCGAAACATTTTCATTCATTCTCTGATTCGGCTTAACTTTGTGCAGTGCTGCCCCAGGGAAGAAATACGGTATACTTTATCCCTCAGCGAAAGCACTTTCTTGAAAATAATACCATCTGCCCACTAAATTTTAATCTAAAATTGAAAGGATGAAAGGAAAATGCCATGAAGTGAAAATAAAAAAGTTTTTCTACAACCTCAGAAAAATTAATGAACTGGAAAGAAATGTTTCGGCCCATAAAGTCGTACACATTCGAGAACAGGTTGAATTTTTTGCAACTGTGTTCGCTAAGAAAAGAATTCGGCGTCCTTTCTCTTGCGATTACGGAAAAAAGAAAATGAATGTTTTTGCTGCTCTGGTTGAAATTGTAATTGCTTATGTCCAGAAGATATTCAGTTCAAAAATCATAGTATTTAGACGATAACTGCGTCAAAATTAAACTCGATCTAAGTGAGCAGTGAGCTACAGATGCCAACATAAGAAATCGCTGATTTTCTGACAAGACTCAGGATGCAATCTAGAAACAGTCGGGAAGAAAGGCTGCTAATTGTTAAATGCGAAAACTAAGAAGTCAGCGATAAGAGCAAGTCTGCTCGATGACGTCTTT